TTGTTGTTGTTGTTGTTGTTGTTGTTGTTGTTGTTGTTGTTGTTGTTGTTGTTGTTTTGTTGTTGTTGTTGTTGTTGTTGTTGTTGTTGTTGTTGTTGTTGTTGTTGTTGTTGTTGTTGTTGTTGTTGTTGTTGTTGTTGTTGTTGTTGTTGTTGTTGTTGTTGTTGTTGTTGTTGTTGTTGTTGTTGTTGTTGTTGTTGTTGTTGTTGTTGTTGTTGTTGTTGTTGTTGTTGTTGTTGTTGTTGTTGTTGTTGTTGTTGTTGTTGTTGTTGTTGTTGTTGTTGTTGTTGTTGTTGTTGTTGTTGTTGTTGTTGTTGTTGTTGTTGTTGTTGTTGTTGTTGTTGTTGTTGTTGTTGTTGTTGTTGTTGTTGTTGTTGTTGTTGTTGTTGTTGTTGTTGTTGTTGTTGTTGTTGTTTGTTGTTGTTGTTGTTGTTGTTGTTGTTGTTGTTGTTGTTGTTGTTGTTGTTGTTGTTGTTGTTGTTGTTGTTGTTGTTGTTGTTGTTGTTGTTGTTGTTGTTGTTGTTGTTGTTGTTGTTGTTGTTGTTGTTGTTGTTGTTGTTGTTGTTGTTGTTGTTGTTGTTGTTGTTGTTGTTGTTGTTGTTGTTGTTGTTGTTGTTGTTGTTGTTGTTGGTTGTTGTTGTTGTTGTTGTTGTTGTTGTTGTTGTTGTTGTTGTTGTTGTTGTTGTTGTTGTTGTTGTTGTTGTTGTTGTTGTTGTTGTTGTTGTTGTTGTTGTTGTTGTTGTTGTTGTTGTTGTTGTTGTTGTTGTTGTTGTTGTTGTTGTTGTTGTTGTTGTTGTTGTTGTTGTTGTTGTTGTTGTTGTTGTTGTTGTTGTTGTTGTTGTTGTTGTTGTTGTTGTTGTTGTTGTTGTTGTTGTTGTTGTTGTTGTTGTTGTTGTTGTTGTTGTTGTTGTTGTTGTTGTTGTTGTTGTTGTTGTTGTTGTTGTTGTTGCGTTGTTGTTGTTGTTGTTGTTGTTGTTGTTGTTGTTGTTGTTGTTGTTGTTGTTGTCGTTGTCGTTGTCGTTGTTGTCGTTGTCGTTGTCGTTGTCGTTGTTGCCGCTCGTAACATTGTGTCGTTGGCTTGCTTAAATAGGTTGGCACTGGTGCGCTTAAAGCTATGTTCATTCTGGATCGTACATGTGAGAACAACTTGGGAAAATGGTGCAGCTCAATTTGAGTCCCGTAACATGCTGTCACCAGCACAGAGGCATAGGCCTTGGAGGGTCCACTCAACAGCTCTATGCTTGTGACGGAATCAAGCATGTGCTAGGCATGCGCGAGTTTTCTAGCAACGGAAGGCAGAGCTCGAATGGACCTTCTCCCCCGCAACGGAGTTGTGGGCTTGGATTCTCAGCGGGAATGCCACCAAATTCACCTGGCAGTATCCGGGGCTGTGCAGAGCACGCCTTGCACTGCAGCCAATAGGCCACAGGCTGATTTTGAAGGCACGGAATCGCAGGTCAATGTAAAGGTTACGACTGTTGTGCATTTGAACGTTTGTCATGGTGAATATTGTGGAGTATTGCGGGCATGTCCGTTTAGACCGATGTTTCCTAACTTGTGGGAGAGGAGAAAGTCCCGTCACCCGTTCTCGGGAGTTTCAAGCCCCCAACTACACAGCTCTTTGCTGAATATGGTGCTTGCATCTCATGGACCTGGCCTTCCTGCTTCTGGGGCTACAGTGGGGCTAAGCGGCGGGCATTTCGAGTTGTGTTTGATACAGGGAGGCGGAGCTCTTCTTACAACACCATAGTCGTCAATCGCGACAAACTCGGAGGAGCTTTCACCTCCAGAAATCCTGACAAACTTTGGAATCGAAACGACAAGTTCTACGAGGCACTCGGCCTGACACTTGGCTGCTTTTCAATTCCCAAAGCCAGCCTTGCAGGGCTTGCCTTGCTTTTTCAATTCACATGATCGGATTCGGATTTTCAACATGTCTCCAAAGGACATGGCTGGCGTTTGCTTGCCCAAGTCTCGCCACTTGGGCGTTTTGGGCCAGGTCGCTCAGGGCGCAATAAGATGCAATTCCAGCTGCGGACGTCTTACGTCTTGTTCGAAGCAGCATATCCTCCTACCGCAGCCAGGTCCAATGTTTTGCCTGAAACATGCCAGGCTGTTAGAGACACAGCGTCATAGAAAGAAAGCGCACCGGAACTCTGCGGAATAACTAGAACATTCTGTGTGTGTGTGTTTCCACTGGGCACTGTTCAATTTGCTAACGCTTCCGACTCAGACCTGCATGTTCATGGTGAAGCAATGCTGCACCACTCTTGAACTGAGTCCATGTTTTTGCTATGAATCATGAATACCCTTGCAGCCATGACTGTGGTAAGTATCAATATTGCAGTGTGTATCCCAATCTATGCTAGGGCCCAATTCTGTCGGCAGTCGGCGTTCACTTGCCTCGTTCCTTATCAACAGAACGTTGTGTGTTTTCCAGTTCTCACAGCGCCATCTATTTGGGCAGCGAGCTTCTCTTTGTGTCCAAACTAGGAGCCTTGCTCACACTGTATCCGTGAACTTTCATGTTTCCCTTGTCCTGCTGCTACTTCTTACTTCTATTTGCCACTCACTTCTGTCGCTGGCGATGGGCACCATGCTTGTTTTCACTGCAACCCGCAGCAGGTTAGCGCCTCGTGTCTTACTGCCAATGGTAGCTGCTAGCTGATACCTACGCAACAGCCTTCCCCCATGGCACCACGTCACCACGGCTTAACTCAACTTCGGGACGACTAAGTGACATCTCCACTTGATATCCCTATACCAAAGGATCCCTCAACTATACGGCCTAGCAGTCTAAGATTGAATTCGGCAAGAAACGTTCGGCCCGCCCTCTGTGCCTGGTGAGCAACACACAAAGAGTTTGACCACGCGCTATCTCGCAAGTTGGTACGCGTGGTTACCCGTACAGAGAGGGCCCCTCTTCCCTCGAGACTCGCATAGCATCCAGCGCTGGGCAATGAGCAAAGCTTGAGGCCTTTCCTTAGAATGTGATATCAAAGCGAAGATTCTGAAAGCGTTTTACAGAGAAGTTGAACATGCTGATGCAACTGTCCAAAGCCTTGGCTCATTGTTTGGCTGTTGGATGAGGCTGAGGCAGAGCCCACAGCCCCTGGCCGCAAGAAGCGCTTGCGGGTCAGAGCCGCGGACCATTCGAAGACAACCGCAATCGCATCAGCACACCATGAGCGTGCTGATGGACCAAGCGAAATCTTTCAAAAAGGCTTTGGGACTCAGAGGTGAAAAGATAGGGATGGACTGACCAAGGGATGCATTGATCACGGAGCTTGTCTCAAGCGCAAGTGTGGGCTGTAGCTAGGAAGTACCGGGTTCGGGTTCAGGGCTCAGGACCTTGAGGTCTTGGGTCAGGACTGGACTTTGGTAGCATCATCTACAGTATGGGGAAAACCAAGCTTGATGAACCAAGTTTGGGCCAAGGCCCGAGTGATTCTCAGTACTGCAAGAACTTTGTGGTCCTGGTTGCCCTTGATCCGTGATGCACGCACAACAAATCCACTCCCCTTCTTTTAGGGTGCAGCAAACGCTGCGACTGAAGCATCTTGGTTGTTCTGCAGGAAGCGAAAAGCAGTACCCACCCTGCGCCCATACCAAAGCCTAAATATGTTCACAGACAATTTCTGGCTCAGAGAAATGGGGGGGTTGGTCCGGAGTTTGGAAGACCAATGCTTCTGGAATTCACTTGCGTCATTGATTGCTTGTGCGTGCGCGGCTCGCGGCACACAGAGTGTCCGCGATCTTCGAAGGAGTGCCTCTCGGTGGGCACGTGCAATGCACTCGTGTCCCGAATTTACCCATCCCAGTGACAACCTGAGTCTTGTCTAGGCAGTCACTCAGTCCTGAGATGAGCTTTCCAGACCAGCGGTAGCTGCAACAGCAACAAGACCGCAATCACAGTTGCAGAGGGAGAGAGTGCTTCATACAGATGTAGTTCTTCCACAGTAAGTTTTTGTTTTTTGCATCAAGAACGACAGGAAGTCCTGATGTCAGGCGATTGAGAGGGTCGACACTAGATCCTTGCTTCTATACAGTGCCCACAGGAGCATTGAAGGTTGACCGTGTTTCGAGCCAGACGGCTATCTTTAGCTGCCTGGTTCATGGGTGCGTGTGAATATTGTATTTCTACATGTTTATTTTACGAATGTCATGATTGTGATTGATTATACATAAATATTGTTGCATATATTGTACATGTACACATATATATATACACATGTGCAACTCTTATGCGCTTGTCATACACGTGTCTCCATGATATACATTCTGGGCTCAAGTACGGATCATGGGTACTGTTGTGATGTGTTCAATTCTGTCTCACTATGTCCATGATATTGCAGACATTGTTAGGTTGCTCGGTTGCGCAGTCGCCCTTGCCAATTGAGGCATGCCCTTGCCATTCCTTGCCAGTGCAATTTCATCAAGGGCGTATTTTTCAGGCATGACTTTTCATGACGGTCATCACCCCGGGTGGGAAATGGCAATGCGTTGGTATTCCCAGGTTTCAAGGTGACACGGGCAATGGCCAAATAATTTGGTATTTTAGTGCTTGTTGTCCACTCCGTGCCAGCAATTTCCACTATGCTCACAAAGGGAGGTTGATCCTGGAGGTATTACGATTTGTTTAGTCGATTCATTTGGCCGCAAACCAGCTTGTGGTTTGCTTGGATCCACCAGGCAGGTCTTTATTTGGAAGAACTCAGCAGCAGGTAAGTCGCTCATTCAGGCCATTGTGTGGCTCATTCATTGCCAGAGACCGTTCTACCAAGGTGCCTTCTTACGTGACCCACGAGTGAGCTAAGTTGGCCCAAACAGCAGGTTGGTGCTTGAGAACAGGGCTTTTGGATCTCGTATTGAGCCGCAATCTTGCGGAATGTTGGAAGCGCAACATGTTGCATTTGAACCAATATATGTGCACATATATGCGTCCAAAGTGGTTTCTGGCATCGACCACCCCGTCGTGTCGACAACCTGCTTGCTGCCAGGTGCAAGTCTGGGACGGCAGCGATTTGCCAGGGATCCTGAGCTTTTCACAAGGTGGCGAGCTTTGCCCGCAGGGCTGTGTGTTCTTGATGTTTATTATTTGCCCATGTTTTGACCTTAGAGGCAATCCCTTTGGATGTACGGTAAAAGCTAGCTTCAGTTTAGTGCTACACCATAGTTCCTTTACAGCTTCCAACATGTGCGCATGTGGTGTTAATCGAATTGCTCAGCTATTTGCACCATAACATTGTTCTGGGTCTGTGGTGCGGTTGGTCGCCTCCATCCCCAAATCCGAGTGCCTCGCGCAACTCTTGCTTGGAGTTGTTGCTGTCTTTTGGCCTGACACCTACCTCGAAATCAACCCCTTGAGCCCAAAATTCGCCCAGATTGCTCCAAAACGAAACTTACTCTGTGATTTTTCCCCTTGTTGCCTGTGAGTTTGAATGATTTGTTTGCGTGGCCCAAGTTTTCCACCGCGGAACCGACAGGAGCCGTCAAGATGTTTCTGAGCATGCAACTCCGAGCAGCCTCTCCGTTCTTTGTATTCAGGCATGAAGCAATGGAGCAATCTTTAGTAGTACTGGCTGCCTTCCGAAAGTCGCGGCTTTTTGCGGCGTGCGTCCTCGCAGTGTCCGAGCTGTGTTTTCGCAAAAGAGAGTCGCATTGTGTGTGTGCGTGTGTGTGGGTATTGATGCGCTTGCCTTTGGAGCCCGTGCCTGCACTCTTTTGGAGCTCCCAGAGGTTGCAGTCGCATGTGTTGGTCGTGGTTTTTGTTATTCCTTGATATTGCTCTGCCAGTGAGCCGGACGGTAGTCGTGCCCTGCCTTGTTCATTGTGTTTGGTGCCTCCAAATCGTGCAAACTAGCTTGAGGGAATAGTTGTTTTGCAACCGCCCTCTAGTTTTCCACGATCACAGTCAAAAAGAGGGCCACGAAATCAGCTATATGTACATCTAGCACATAGGACAACCAATATAAACCTGTATATATATACATATATATATATATGTGTAAACCGATGACAACTTGCATTTGTGTTACCCTCGTTTCCCCGAGTTGGAGCCGATCCACTCACACCGTGAGGTTTCGCAAACGGTTTCGCCAAGGCGGCTTGCGCGTCTCCGCAGTGAGCTGGAGCAAGAGAGGGCCCTCGTGAAAGCGCCCTGCCGGCTCAGATTGGGCAGTGGAGGATAGGCCAAGGATGGATCTGGATGAACTTGGATGTACCCATTTTCAGTGGGGGTGTCTGTGTTTTCAGAGGGGGTTTCTGTGTTTTCAGAAGAGGTGTGTGTGTGTGTGTGTGTGTGTGTGTGTGTGTGTGTGTGTGTGTGTGTGTGTGTGTGTGTGTTTTAGAGGAGGTTTGTGTGTCTAAATGAAATTAGTTAGTCTCAGGACATGTTCAGGTGCAGGTGGACATAGAATGTAGTGCAATTAGCGCACCAGCGCATAGCATTCCACTCCAGTTGGGATGATATACCAAGTTATGCTAAGCTCTTATGTTCATGCTGGAATAGGTCTTGCAGTTCCGGATGCCAAGGCGGAAGTGCATACATTGATTTGGGATCAATGATTCACGCTGAAGCGGGATTGCTGTCTCTCCCAGGGACATGACGATTCCATCCCAAAAAACAGATTGCCACTAATTGGTGATTGCAAGCTGGAAACTATGAAAAAACAAACTTGAAGGCCCGAGCCAGCCCACAAAGGACTGTGTCATCAAAAGGAGACAGCTTGGACTCGGACTGCGCTGCCAGGTTGGAGCTGCGGCTGCAGGCAACGGATTGTTGCTTACGATTAGTTTCATTTGCTGCTGCCGGTGACGAATCCGCATGATGGGCAGCAATTCTAGGGGACACTTCCCCATTCTTTCCAGGGATCCTTCTTTCCAGAAAACCATCAGAACCCCAGGGGAAGCAGGTGGTCTTTGAAAAGAACGATGGTTGAAAAGAATGGGGAATGAACCCCTGGAGCCATGTTCTTTCTTCCCCCCAATAAAGGTCCCCCTAATAATAAGCATTGTTTCTTCAAAACCCGGGGGGCCAAATACTAAATTTGAATAGCCCGGTTTGAAACCGATACCTTTCTTCCAGTCTTCTTATTCTGGTTGGGGGACCCCTGCCATCAGTCAACAAGCAACCCTTTCTGGAGCAAACTGGTTGCTGCTCCCTTTTCAGCTTTTGATTTATAAACAAGCACCCGTTAATTTGTTGGGACCCGGAAAGGGGGGAGTACTTTCAGAGCCAGTAGTACCTTTCTTCCTTTGTTCCCTGACTCTGTGAAGCTGGAACTGGGGACTCCTGGTACAGCAAGAATATACATCTCCGGAGGATTGTCTTTATTTGGGGGGAGGGGAGGGTTTTATATCGAGGGGTAGGGTGTTGCTAGGTTGTCCTGCCGATTTCAGCGAACTTTGCAGGCTTTGTCTCGTCCAAGGAAGATCCGTTCGTAGAGCCTGCATTGAGCTTGCCTGCTCAGCTGGGTGAACCAGTGAGTTGAGCATTCGATGCACTGGCGCCAACCTAACGCGATCAATATAGTAGGCTGTCTTAAGTGAGATTGGGCAGGCTCCGTTCTATTAACGGCTACTTGAGCGTGATGAACTTACCCCTTGCTGATATGTCTCTCAAAGACAAGCTTGAAGACCCAAAGCAAGATACGTCGCGCAGGCAGCTTGCCACTCTGAGGAGTCAATATGATGCTTGTGGTTTCCCCAAGCTGGGTCTCCTCGCCAGCGCCAGGCAATTCCTTGTCCAAGGCCGGGAGCGTTGGCTTTTGAGAGCATGGTGTTGTGGTAATGTGGCGATGTGGTGCCAGGTTGCTTAGAGAAACATTTGCTGTATAAACGAGGCAGGCATGGATAGTTGGTATCAGGCCTGTGCAGATGCCATAGTCTTTGAAAGGCAGTGCCTCGGCCATTGCCAGTTTGGACAAGGGCCTTTTATCACTTCAAGCATGGGATGCCAATTCCAGGTGCCGCTCGAAGTGTAATAAAGAGTTATCCAGTGGCAGAGTCTGGAATCATCTCAGGCCTTCCGTTAGAAGTGGCTTGGGAGCAACTCTGACGAAAATAGCCACGCACGGCAAACGCGTGGAAGCAGACTTCAAACACATCAGCAATGAAAGTCGTTGTATTCGCACATGTCAGATCGATTTACGTGACTAAATCTTGGAATGTGGAGAAGCGTTAATTACAAGTATCATTGTTTGATTTCTAGGCACATGCAGCGTTCTCCCTTCAGCGTTGGCTAAGCTACTGTAGTTTGTCGCTGTTGATTTTAGTTGGATAGTTGAGCCGCGCAAGACTTGTCCCCCAATAGAAGGCTGCAACCATTCTTTTTTGATGAAGCATACGTGACCTTGTGTCATTTCCCACGCACTGGATGCCTCTCCACGGAAGGGTACCTACGGAGTCCCAGAGGGATCGGCCATGTGAATTGCATTCGGAGACCTGCCGATGCGTGCTTTGCCAGCTCACGTGTCAACTGAGCCTTGCACCCAACTTGAGAGCAGATGTTGTTCTGCGTCGAGGGCGTTTTCTTCGCTCGTGTTTGGGTCGCCGCTTTTTTGAAGCGTGCTCCGGCGCCAGGTACGAGCCAGTTGCCTTTGACTGGGAGGCCAGGGACATTTCGGCAGAAGGGTCCGCGGGATTCACTGAGTTATTTAGCATGAATCAAGCTTACACAAACGCCACATCCACGTCTGGAACTGTTGCTTGGCAATGTGCGTGCCCCAGGCTCTCAAGTTTCCAGGAAATCCTGCAACCGATGGACTCTGTTTTGTTTGCTTGTCAGTGTACTATCCGTCCTGTTTGCTTGTTTAGGGGCTGAACGGACAATCCGTCATGTTCTCAGCCTTGAGTCTCGTGAGCCCAAGTTGCCTTGATTGAGCATGTATTGAACAGTTTGGCTAAGTTTAGTTGGAAGGTCTTGGCCCAACTTGTTTCAGTCCCAGGGACCGAACAGGAAACCATGACAACCGTTTCCTTCGGGCCGACCTTGGGGTGCTTGGCGAAAGGCGACGAGGTGTGAGCACTTGGGGAAGAGGGCTCTTGCAAGACGTACGATGGCATCAAAGTTGGTTGAAGGATTACGAGCAGTATGTCGTCTCCAGCGGCCTTTTTCGATCGCTTGGACAGATGCTTGCAATATTGCAACATGCTGATAGAGACCATCGATTTCACGTTTTCTCATTTGATGTAAGGCTGCAGATGAGCACCGGCCCATATCCAGGCGATTGACTTGTGGTTGATAGGGATGCTTAACTCTTGCAGGGCGGTCGCTGGCTTGGAGCCCCCAAAGTAGTTGTGGCAAAATGTACGTCATGCAAAGCATGAGAAGCCAAGAAGCCTCCCTTTTTGTTTCTCGGAGGCCACCATTACAACAGTTGCAGGAGATTCAATTTGCCCAAGCCAACCTTTCGACTTTTTGGTTTTCCCGATTTGCCCATTCTTGCTAAGGTTCACCTTTCATTTCTGTTTTTTTTGGGCAAATGAGGAGTGGTCTTCTCTAAACCCCATTTGGAATCCTTGGAAGGGTGGGACGAGGCCTGTGTGGAGCCGGAGCCGGATGTGGGGGACCTGCTCTTCCTGCCTCTCCACGTGAATGAGGCAAAAGCGGAGTCAAGCGAGGGCGCTTGCATTACTGGGAGGTCACGATTTTGACGATTTCTGGGGGGATTTCAAAGTTGGAACATGTGGACGTTCCCCTTTAACCTACCACGGCCATCTGATGCAAAAGCATTTGCCAAGGCCCGGTGCAAAGCCAGGGCAAAGACCTGAAATGGTCCTGCCTCTTTTTGTGTCCTGCCTAGTCGTTGTCATAGCCATAGCAAGAATAGCCCTAGTACGAGATCAATCCGATAGGGGCAAGGTCGTGAATGTGACGACGACTGCATGCTAAACACCGTCAAGCACATCTAGGGTTTGCTCAGCAAATATGAGTGCGCAGCTCCACAATAGTCTGCTCGCCTTTGGGCAATAGGGGATCTTTGCATGTGTTCGCCCCTGTAAAGATTCATTTGCAGTGTTTTGCTGGCTGGGTTTCCAAACATTACGGGAATGATGCTGAGGCTACGTGCCCATGCATTCAATAGACGTTGCTTTGAACACAAGGCACCTCCGCACTCAAACAAAAAGACTGTGAATCTGCAGCTGCGCGTACAGGCACATTCTGAACTTGGTGTGAAGATGTCATACTTTTGATTTCTGCACCAATCGCAGAGACCGTAACAGTTTCAACGCCAGTGAAAAGCACCAGGCCCTCCATCATGCTCCAAAGAAGCAGCCATTACCCTCCCCATGTGTCACAATCAAAACCCGGGCAAGTGAAGGATAATCAGGGAGAGTCCCTGAATCAGTTGCGGCCTTTTGAGTTTCTTACATTGGTTTGGGTAGAACATTCCAATACAGGGTTTTGATTCTAGCTCTCATGGCTTCTTGGACATGGTGTTTATGTGGCGTTGCTGGACGGGCAAAGCGCCCGAAATCGGAGCCGCCGCGAGAGGCGCTGCGGGTGTTGAAAGCCGCGAGAGCCACCGCCGCGGAGGCGTGTGGGCGTGTCGTTTTTTGAAGGTACCCCCCTGTTCTGTTTGGTGGTAAAGGGAAACCAAAAGGAAAAACTCTTCCATTTGGGAGGGCCCAAAAAAAAGACACCGTTGTTGTGTTTAAAGTATTTTGTCTGAGGGGCAACGCGGAAAGCAAAGGAAATTCTGGTTTCCAATGTTGGGGGTTCCTTTGAAGACTTACCCATGTTTGCTCGACGAAGGGACAGGCTTACAGGTGTATTGAGGATGGTCCCAACCCAAACCTTGTGCGTCGGGGGCTTGAAGCAGTTCTGGTGGGTGGCTTCCGTGTTAGGGGATTACAGCAGATCTTCTGCTCAGTTGTCCAAAGCCGACCTTTTGACCTTCTGTTTTTGTCCATGTTGGTCGACGTTTAGCCAAGGTCCCAATAGGTTCACCCTTTTTGTTTGAGTCCTTTGGGCAACTGAGTGTGGTGTTTCCCTTTTTTGACAGCAGAAAGAATCCACCCAAAAGGAGCTGTCCTGTCCTACCCCACAGGGCAAACCATACTTCTGAATGCTTGGGTCAGGTGCGACACAAGGTTTGCATCCCTCAACACAGGCTCCAGTGGCCCAAAACGGGAAGCTGGACAGTCCA